GGTGAGTGGCAGAAGCAGAGAAAGGAGGAGCACTCAGTTTGGAAAGTTGGCCCCTTAGAGATTGTCACTGCAGTTGTCCATGCTCAGGAGTTTATGTCTGAGAAGAATCTCAATGACAATTGGGTTCTCAGAGCTGCAGTCAGGAATGGGATCCTGGTCTACAGGCCTGATCCAGCCTCAGGGAGGCTTGTAGAACTGCTGTCTCAGAGCTGGGCTAAGGAGATGGGCTTAGAGGTTGGCACCAAGAGGTACAACCCTGAGTGGCTCAGAGACAGGCTCAAGTGGAGAGATGATGAGGGGGTGCCCATACAGGCAGATTGGAATCTCAGCAAAACAGCTAAGAACATCTCAGATCTTCAAGTATGGGATTATTGGCATCCTGAGGATGACAAAGAGTTAGATGAAGAGGAGAAGAAGCCTGAGATAGAGGATGCCATTGCTGATGACTTGGAGCTAGAGCTTCAGAACTCCTTGTCCCTGAGAATCCATCCTGCCCTCAGAAGAGCTCAATTCAGAAGAATGGGCACAGCTGAGTACCAAGCAAAGAAGGAAAGAGATGTGGCTAAGAGGCTCAGGGCGAGACATGCAAACAAGTGGCTCAGAAAACACAGGCAGAAGATTGTGGCACAGGCATCTGAGAAAATTGGTTCCCAAAGCAGACAAGAAGCTTTCTCAGAGATGGTGCCTGAGGTGAAGCAGAAGCAAGGCAAGAAAAAGCTCAGCCATGCCTTCAAACAGTCTTTGAAGAACAAACCCTCAGCCAAAAACAAGCCCTCAGCTAAGTTCAAAGCCTTGAAGAAAGCTGCTAAGAAAACTGAGGAGCAGAAGCAAGCCATCTCAGATGCTGAGCTCAAGAAGACTTGTGAGGAGGAAGCAACTAAGGCACCACCACCTTTGCCTCCTCCTGCTGAGGCTCCTCAGGAAGCACCAAATTCTGATGACCCCCTTCTGATGCAGGAAGCTGTTGTCACCTCAGATGCTGCAGGCAAGCTTCACTTTGGCAAGGAAGGCAAGATCACTTTCAAAGGTGATAAAGGCTTCTACACCATGGTCACTACCTCAGGAGTCTTTCAGATTAAGCCTGAGTGGCTGCAACTCAAAAGCTCTAAGCCTTTTGTTGCAAGAGTTCAGTGGCCTAAGTGGAGCCAGCTCAGCAAGAATGACCTCAAGTTATGGCTGTCCCAACTGAGCTGCAACCCTGATGATCAGCTTGGCATGGGCCCTGAGGAATGGTCCACTCACTCAGTGTTGCCATGCCCTGCCAACATACCTGAGATGGAGGATCAGCACCTTTGGTTCGGCTGGTGTCTTCTCAGCTGGTGCTTCAAGAAGGCTAATGTCCCTCAGCCAGAGGAAATTGGGGTGCATTGTATTGATCCCATCCTGAGCAAGATGATTCTTGAGACTGAGGACTCAGAGCACCTGGATGGCTTGAAGCAAGGCTTGCAGCTCAGCTGGACTGAGAGCACCAGGCTTCTTCTGGTTCCAGTGTATTCTCAGTTTCACTGGACTTTGCTGGTAGCTCAGAGGGAAGGCACTGGGCAACCCATCACTTGGAGGAGGTATGACTCCCTCAGCAAAGAGCATGAAGAATCTCATCCTCAGCAGATCCTCATGGGGAACTTGCTTGACCCTCAGTTCATCCTTCCACCACTCAGCAACTCTGCCAAGCAGCCTGTGGGCAGCAATGCCTGTGGCTGCTATGTGCTTCACTACATGGAGGAAGAAATCAGGCTTTTCAGAGGAGAGTGGCTCTCAGTTTGGCCTGAGACAGGGTGGAAGAACTGGAAGCAGAGGTTGGAGATTGCTTGCAACAAGGTCATTGCTGAGCAAAAACTTATCACTGATGCTGCCAAGATCAGATGGGATAAATTTCTACTTGAGAGGGCTAAGATTGCTGAGCAACAAGAAAAAGCTAAGGCAAAGCTTTCTAAGCTCAAGGGCACCACCTCAGTTGCCTACATTACTGCTCAGCAGCAGCTGGACAAGAACTCAGTGAGGTTCACCTGGAAAAACCTCTCTGAGGAATCAGTTCACAAGGTCAGGCTCCTGGAGCATGCCTTGGGAAAATGTTCTAAGTGCAGATGGCAATCAGGCTGCCTGAGCTGTGATGCCTACAAATGCCTCAGGTACCACCTGCACTCAGAGGCTGCCAAGGCCAAGAAGTTGCCCTTTCTCAGCACAGGGCCTGAGGATCTTCAGCAACTGCTCAAGTCAGCCACCCTAGCTATCTCAGCAAGCTCATCTTTAGAACCTATTTCCTCGAGCTCAGCTGCATCTACCTCAGCAACATCAGCTGCTCCTGCCTGAAGCTCTACTGAGAGTGAATGATTTGCAGCTTTGCACTGATAAAAACTCAGTGGCTTTCACTTTCATTCTGATATAATTGAGTCAGTGCTAGAAAATCTCTTCAGGAAGCAGCTGGACACAATAGTGTACCCTCAAACAAACCACACTATTGTGTATCAGGGTTGCTCATGGACTACCCCTTGAAAAATTGTTTGAGTGATGTTTTTTAATTGGGTTTTAATAAGGCATCATATATTTTGGGAAACTGGTCATTTCTGAGAATTTCAAATGAAAGAAACTAAGAAAGAAATTAATTGAAAGGAAAACACTTTAGCTAGCAAAAGAAAAGGTAAAGGAAATGATTGAAAAAATCAAAAAAACATAACCTCAGGAAGCAGCTGGACACAATAGTGTACCCTCCAAACAAACCACACTATTCTGTATCAGGGTTGCTCATGGACTACCCCCTTGAAAAATTGTTTGAGTGATGTTTTTTAATTGGGTTTTAATAAGGCATCATATATTTTGGGAAACTGATCATTTCTGAGAATTTCAAATGAAAGAAACTAAGAAAGGAATTAATTGAAAGGAAAACACTTTATCTAGCAAAAGAAAAGGTAAAGGAAATGATTGAAAAAATCAAAAAAAACATGACCTCAGGAAGCAGCTGGACACAATAGTGTACCCCCAAACAAACCACACTATTGTGTATCAGGGTTGCTCATGGACTACACCCTTGAAAAATTGTTTGAGTCATGTTTTTTAATTGGGTTTTAATAAGGCATCATATATTTTGGGAAACTGGTCATTTCTGAGAATTTCAAATGAAAGAAACTAAGAAAGAAATTAATTGAAAAGGAAAACACTTTAGCTAGCAAAGGAAAAGGTAAAGGAAATGATTGAAAAAATCAAAAAAATCATGAACCTCAGGAAAGCAGCTGGACACAATAGTGTACCCTCCAAACAAACCACACTATTCTGTATCAGGGTTGCTCATGGACTACCCCCTTGAAAAATTGTTTGAGTGATGTTTTTTAATTGGGTTTTAATAAGGCATCATATATTTTGGGAAACTGATCATTTCTGAGAATTTCAAATGAAAGAAACTAAGAAAGGAATTAATTGAAAGGAAAACACTTTATCTAGCAAAAGAAAAGGTAAAGGAAATGATTGAAAAAATCAAAAAAAACATGACCTCAGGAAGCAGCTGGACACAATAGTGTACCCCCAAACAAACCACACTATTGTGTATCAGGGTTGCTCATGGACTACACCCTTGAAAAATTGTTTGAGTCATGTTTTTTAATTGGGTTTTAATAAGGCATCATATATTTTGGGAAACTGGTCATTTCTGAGAATTTCAAATGAAAGAAACTAAGAAAGAAATTAATTGAAAAGGAAAACACTTTAGCTAGCAAAGGAAAAGGTAAAGGAAATGATTGAAAAAATCAAAAAAATCATGACCTCAGGAAGCAGCTGGACACAATAGTGTACCCTCCAAACAAACCACACTATTCTGTATCAGGGTTGCTCATGGACTACCCCCTTGAAAAATTGTTTGAGTGATGTTTTTTAATTGGGTTTTAATAAGGCATCATATATTTTGGGAAACTGGTCATTTCTGAGAATTTCAAATGAAAGAAACTAAGAAAGGAAATTAATTGAAAGGAAAACACTTTAGCTAGCAAAGGAAAAGGTAAAGGAAATGATTGAAAAAAACAAAAAAAACATGACCTCAGGAAGCAGCTGGACACAATAGTGTACCCCCAAACAAACCACACTATTGTGTATCAGGGTTGCTCATGGACTACCCCCTTGAAAAATTGTTTGAGTCATGTTTTTTAATTGGGTTTTAATAAGGCATCATATATTTTGGGAAACTGGTCATTTCTGAGAATTTCAAATGAAAGAAACTAAGAAAGGAATTAATTGAAAGGAACACACTTTAGCTAGCAAAGGAAAAGGTAAAGGAAATGATTGAAAAAATCAAAAAAATCATGACCTCAGGAAGCAGCTGGACACAATAGTGTACCCCCAAACAAACCACACTATTTTGTACCTGGATGTAATTTTCTGTGGAAGCATCTGGAAAATTTCAATGCTGGAAAATAAAAAGTAAAAGGAAAAAGCTTTAAAAAATGAAAAAATGAAAAATGTTTGAACAACAAAAAAAAGACCAATACACAATTGTGTAACCTGACACAATGACACAATTGTGTATCCTGACACAATTTTACAAAATAATAAAAATAAAAATAAAAAAAATAAATTAAAAATTATTAGAATTAAAAATAAAAATAAAAAATAATTAAATTAAAAATTATTATAATTAAAAATAAAAATAAAAAATAATTAAATTAAAAAAATATTATAATTAAAAATAAAAATAAAAAATATTTTAAAATTTTAAAATAAAATAAAAAACAATTAAAAACATAAAAAATGAAAAAAATGAAAAAAAACTTACACCAAAATCCTGTGGACACAATAGTGTACCCCTCGACCATTTCCAGAGTAACAGAATAATTTTGAGGTCTGTGGACACAATACCGTATCCCCACACTAATCAGTAACCAACATTAATCATCCCAACTGACTGTCATATTTTTAAGAGGGGTAGGTATACCAGCAACCAGGTATTATTTAATACTTTATGAATGAATGAGTTTAGCTTGTCATGGCAGTGTGACTTGGGGTCCACGTGGGTCCAGGTCAGGCAGCCTTGCACGCTACCGTGGCGCCACGGAAAGCTTCGCACATGGCGCCATGCGGGAGACGGGGATGAGGTTGGGTTGAAAGCTAGATTGGTTGAAGGGAAAATCTAGAGTTTTCCCATGGTTTTCCCATGGTTGGTTTTCCATGGTCTGTTCCGCTGTGCTCAGGTGAATGGAGGCACCCGCCTGAGTCCCTGGTTGGCCTTCGGCTGCCTTTCCGCACGGATGGTGGTGAAGGAGGTGGAACCCAAGGGGCGAACTTGGAAAAACGATGGGTAGTTCAACCTGGGAACAAAACATGGGGTTACCATCTGGTTATTCAACATAGCGAACTGGAAAATCCATTATAAATGAGGCTTCTAGCTGGGAAAATAATCTATAAATGTGCCATTTTCCATGGCTATGTTTAATAACCAGAGGGTAACGTGGTTTGACGATCAAGAATGCGAGTTTTAGACAGTTTTAGCAGAAACTATCATGCTTTCAGGAAAAAAAATGGCTTTGAGCAACGAAAATAGTAAGGTAGTTGGAGAACTCTGAAACCATTAGGATAGAACGTTTGCTTTGGCGATATGAGGAGCTTCCATATCTCCCCATGTTTGTTACACTTAATCCCATTCTTTATCGCATTACATGAAAAATTATGTTTGGTTTAGTGTGGGCAACCCAGCAATAAACCGTAATAAACCTATCACTAGGGGATCGGGTTTTACCGCAGAAACATGGTGATCTTGGGGATGATTTATGTTTTGAGTTTACCACATTAGACCGTTCAGGCTTCTCACCCCGCAACTCCTTCCCTACTGGAACTGGTCGGAGGCTCGCGAGTGGGAACGGCAGCACGGGAAGACCAGTTCCACTTCAAAAGGTGTTGGCAAGACAGGCGTGGTACTTGAGCATGACGGGTGGCTTGGTTTAATCATCCAAGATTGTGATGAAAGGAATTTCAACGGAATATAACGGTGATAAAATGGGGATATGGAGGTTTCCTGAAATGGGGTGTACCCCTAAATCATCCAATTGAATAGGATTGTCCATTATAAAACATTCATTTGGGGGTATCCCCTTTTATGGAAACTCCCATATAAATAATGAGATATCGCCGCCTACTTTGGGGGTACAGTTGTGACAATTTATTGGTATGACCATGGGAGTTGCTACCATAAATTGGGTAATATGTTTTTTACTATGGCCGTACCCCGTACCCACTTCTTATGTCGGAGCTACCAGTATCTACCAACTGTTTTTGCTGAAGAACACATCGATTTATTGTGCTATTTGCACATGGTTCAATCTGGGAATTTGGGCAATTTTGCGAGGCAATGTGGCAGTGACCCACTTAAACGTGACCCGTGCCAAATTGGAGTTTCTGATATCCTAGGTTTGTGGGTAGACATTGTTGCACCATGCTATGCCCCATTGATTGTTGTTTGTACCCGGTTACAGGTTACCCTTGTGTTATGTCACTATTTAGGATCAATCACAGGGATCTCTCTGCGACGTCATTGGAATTATGGTTAGGATTGGGGTAACTATCCCAAAATGGCTATTTAGGCTCAGGTCCGTAAGCAGCATAACCGGAAGGGGTACCTAAGTTCGATACGTTTCTGTTGGTATAACTCGGCTAACGATCAATTCTATTTGATGGATTTATGGAACTAGTTTGCCGGGGTAAAGATCCAGTGAAATGGGGGAAGTCACCATGTTGTATCTCATTTTAGTGGATTTCCCCATATTTTTCCATTTTGTTTCCATAAACAAGAGCGCTCGCACCTATCATGGGTGATCCATAGCGCTTTATTCCTTAAATTTACCCTGCAAACATATCTGGAGGTTTCCTAAAATAGGGGTACCCCCAGTTATCATCCATTTATAGATGGTTTTTCCATTAAAACCCATCTATTTTGGGGTACCTCCATTTATGGAAACCCTCATATACATCTATTGAAAGCCATGGTGACTTGGGATCCATGACGAAAGCCCCATTTCGGCAGCCCTGATGAATCAGCAGGGCCACCTCATATCCTGGAGGCTCAACGGGCACGCGGCTCCACACCGAGCTGCTCTTCAGAGATTTTCTGCGTTCCTGGGAGAACATGGGCGAAAAAAGGCTACAATGTGAGGCCCCAAGATAGCTAAGTTGGTTTATAACTCCAATAACTATGGTTTATGGTACGTATAGCTGTAGTTACTGGGGCTTACAAACCAACTTATAACTGGGGGGCCCCACATTGTACCTATCCGGGAAGGTTTTCCCCGCATTTTTTCGAGCTCAAAATCATCCTGGTGACCTCATAGGCGTAAACTGGAAGTGCAAATCCCCAAAGTTTGATGGAACCAATGGTGCATTAATTACTGGTTGGTGGTTTGGGACATGGCTTTCATAATATATGGGATAATCCTTCCCATTGACGAACTCCATCATTTTTCAAGATGGTTAAAACCACCAACTAGATTATCATTTTCCCGCTTAAAACGTCTCTATTTGGGCTGGGGTACACCCGATTTTCAGCCACGCCCACATGGGGCTAGAAGTATAAACAATGGATCTCGGGGTACAAAACTTACAGTACCTGTTTATGGTAATAATTAATATATTCGATGGGCATGTTTCAAGGGATGAAAACCGAACACATGCAATGTCTGAGTCAATTAAAACGATGACATTTTTCGACATCATCGTGAATCTAACGGTAGCTATCCCAAAAAGGCCTTATATTTGCTCGTTGGTGGTTTGGAACATGTTGTTTTTTTCCATACATTTGGGAATGTCATCATCCCAACTGACGAACTCCATCATTTTTCTGAGGGGTAGGTATACCACCAACCAGTCATGTTTTATACTTTCAATTCCCGTCAAAATGGGGGATGCCCGGGATCCCTTTGGGAAGTATCGTGCTTGAAAGCGAATAAATTTGTAAGTGGAGAAAAGGTCAACAGATGGTGATATGGATCAAAGCCCTAGTGCAGTGGTGAACAATGGTGAACATGAGGCTGGAAAGCGATGACCATAGGTATTCACCCATGCCCAAGTGATGACTAGCATGGTTTGTGTGGCTTATTTGGATCCCAATGACCATGGCTGCCAAGAGTGGAAAGGGGCAACAACGAAGCCTCATTTTTGAAACAATTTTGCGGGTCAAGCGGGGGAACCTTCCACGGGGCAATTTGCAGGCCAAATTGTTGTTGGACCAAAATTGGGACAAGGCTAGACATTATGCTAGACATTATGACATTATCATTTTATGCTTGTTTTTCGGGTCCCAAATGTTTTGATGACTAGATAACCAGATAGTTGTGGCTGAGCCGAGGTTTTTCGGCTTTGGCATGGGGCACTTCACTCTTCAAAATTGGAGGTCTGTGCTGCTGCATTCCGTGGGTGTGGTTGAAAATTGTACATTGAGAACTAAAATTGTGACCAACAGATTCTGGAGTGACTATTTTCAGGCAAAGCCAGTGAGACTATGTGCGATTTCAATGATCAAATCTTGTCATGCCTATTACAGATCACTGGTTGGTGGTTTGGAACATTTTTCAATAATATATGGGATATTCCTTCCCATTGACTAATATTATTCAGAGGGGTTGAAACCACCAACCAGAGCTATATATATATATACACTATATTTTGGTGGTTATCATCAATCACTATTAGCCAGTATTAGCCACTATTAGCAAATACTTGTTTTTTTTCCTGAAAATTGTTTGTGTGTTCGACGAATTCGACGACTGATAATCAGTTGACTATCCCCAGATGAAATCTTTGCATCTGCAGGGTGCGCATATATGTACAATGTGAGGCCCCCCAGTTATAAGTTGGTTAACAAAAGCCCCAGGAATACTATAGTTATTTGTGTACCATAAACCATAGTTATTGGAGTTATTTGCACCAACTTAGCTATCTTGGGGGCCTCACATTGTATGTATGTGTGTGTGTGTTTGTATGTTGTTGGGCACCCTAGCCCCGTGCATTTCTTTGTGTGTTTTTGTTATTGGGATTGTTGTGAATTCCCATTTGCAAAGTTAGATGCACCCGGGTATTTTCCGCTATACAGGGTAGGGCCGGGGTACGGCCCAAAATTCGTAGCTGTTTGTAGAATCGGTGCATCCCCTGTTTGTTTTACAACAAGAGTACCTGACCAAATGTGAAGCTCTTTGGTATTGAACCACTACCAGAAGGGACATATGTACCATGGGGAAAAATGTTGATTATCGATATAATATCTATACATATCTATACTATGATATAATGCCACTATTTGAAGACTGTCATCGTAAGGATTTCCATTATGGTATCGATGATCATACCCCATGTGCTATGTTTTACCATGGCAAATGCAAGGTGTCCAATTTTTTATTTTTTCCGATTTGCCTCAAGCAAAGCGTTTTTTTTTCCATTACAGGCCGAAGAAAACAAAACCAATCTTCAACGCTCCAATGGTCCATGGGTGCTTGAGAGTTTCCGCTTCAATCACCCCAGTGGGTATTTCCCGAGGCACGCGCAGATCCACCCATAGTCCCATAGTTGTTTCAGTACTCAAATAATAACCTTGGGATGATTTGGAGATAGTTCCCAAAAAAAACACACACACAGAGGATCAGGAAGGAAGAAAGGTTCGTGTTCTACTCTCTGGTGGAACTCCAAAGGATGGGGCAGCAACTCCCCACTCTCCCTCTTGGCGAGAATAGCGCGGAGGAGTTGATTAGCTGCGTAAATAGAGTGCAAAACTGCGTTTTGGCCATGATTTTTGGTGGGAGAAGGGATTTTGAGGGAGCTTTGGAGGAAGTGGCAGATGCGGACGTTTACACTGTCCGCAATGTTTTGGGAACCAGCCAGCTCGCCAAATGACATGTCTTAGCGGTTCCAGTTGGAACAACGGCCTACACCGGCCATGTTCAACGAAGCCGTCAGGAAGGCTCGTGAGGAGGCCGACCCTAAAGGCATGCAATAATTGAAATGCAGGATTCTACGTACATACTCTTTAAATCTCTTTAAGAAAATACCTGGTTGGTGGTTTGGAGCATTTTTTTTCTATATATTGGGAATGTCATCATCCCAACTGACTCATATTTTTCAGAGGGGTGGGTCAACCACCAACCAGATGATTTCTATATATTTACCAATTTCTAGTACATGTCTTATCGTTTCTACACATACTCTTTAAGAAAATAGTGACAATTCTGACAATTCTTCCATTTTTTCCCAGTCACCAAATCGTTTCCTTTTTTTGGGGGTCCCCAACAAAGTGGACTCCAAGATCCAACGATGTGATTTTTTTGCAAAAAATTGTGAATCAATGGAATCAATGTAGGAGTCATACAATGTGGTGCCCCCTGTCGATAGCGTCCAGTTGCCTAAAAAAAGTTGCTGAATTAACTATGGTTTATAGTAGATATAACTACAGTTAATGGGGTTTATAAACCAACTTATAACTGAGGGGCACCACTTGGTATAAATAGCATGTTATATCCATTTATTCAATATTTATATCAACTTAGCCAGATAATCAACCAATACCCTATATTGAAGGATTTACTGTATATTGCCATGAAAAATGGTGTAAATGGTGAGTTATAACTTTTTAACCAACAACAGATGTGAGCCAAACATGTTGATCTTTTGCTACACATGGGTATGTGCACGACCAAGGCTATTGTTTTCAGCATCAAAGATTGGCCAATTGGCCGTAATACCAGCCACAAAAAAACATGTGCATTATTTGGATCTAAGTTGGTGGCTATTGGATACAAGATCATTTGGCAAGAAATCATATACATTATTTGGATCATGAAAAATACAGTTTATATTTTTGCTGGTGGCTATTAGCATTGGCAACAGATTCTTTTCATGCTGTGGGCTCCAGTTGTGAGAGCCGAGGATCCCATGATGGATGTGATTTTATCACCCCAGACCGTCGTCACGTAAAAGATTGCGCAGTTGTACAATCCGTAGGGGACATAGATCATGGAACTGTAAATTCATCCATTCTGGAGAGTTTATGGATAACTATCCCCAAATGAATACGACGTGGCGAATGATACTTGATCCATGATGCCATCAGTGGTTCCGGTTGAAATCAGTCAGCTGCCATGGCAGGTCCTTTTCACATCAAAGGTGTGCAATGGAAGAAAGACCAGGAGCATCCCGTAGGTCAAGTTTGAGCCTGTCAGGTGTCACATTTGGGTTCAAGGGAAAATTTCTTGTCCAGAAAATCTCGTACTTTGACAAACGGCTGAAGAGCATTGCTTTACCCTCTGGTAATTTCACATAGCTATTGAAAATGGCTATTTATAGTGGATTTTCCCATTACATGGTGTTTTTCCATAGTTATGTTAGTTTACCAGAGGGTAATGAGTTTGCCTTGGGGGGTTTACAAATTTGAGCATCAATCACATGGTGACTGGAGATATGCCTGGGTCTCCTGGTGGTCACTCGCGATCAAACTGTGGTCACCCTCAGCTGGAAAACCTGAGTTAAGCAACAACACATGGAGGCTAACCGACCATCAAAGGAATCTAACCGACCAAGCAAGAAATGGGACATCAAGAGTGAATCAACACAGGTGAAGTTCATGGTGACTGGTAGGTTGAAGGGGCATTTCGCACTTGAAAGATGCGTATTTCACGGAAGAAAATAATCTATATAGCCATCATACATATTGATGCTGCCCCATCATGATAGATAGTTCATTTTTTTCCCAATTTGGGTTTCCAGGTAGTCATGCACATCTCAGCACTTCCGTACAGGAGCTCTTCCAAAAATGGTGCTTGGGACAAACAGGCCACACTGGAGGGTCCCTGGACAAGACATGGAGGCGGTGGCCCACACTTATAAGAATTAGCAAAGTTGGCGTATAACTAGGGGAACTGTGGTTTGATATGAGAAAGGGAGAGGGAGACCTGATGCCATCAGCGAGGTGTTTGGGATGAATCGACTCTTCGGTTTCCCAATCGTTGACGAGGATAAGTCGATTGAGAATGTGAGGAAGATCGCAGTGTTTGAGCCCCTGACTGAGGAGCAGCTTAGGAGGAGCAGCTTAGGAATGAGGCGATCCACTGCGGTTCTCACGAAATACTACGTCCTCGCGTACATCCGAAAGAAAGGGCGATGGCCAAGCTTGGAAGATGCAGGGTGCAGTACAGTCATTCGGGAGTGGAAAGAGGCCAACATACGAACCTCAACCTCATCCAAGATCGCGGGCCTTTCCTTGAGGAATGGGGGACGCTCCTGGCAGAATCGATCGCTGAGTCCGTCGAGGGAGGAGTACGACTCAGTCTATTCCTGGTCCAAGCTCAGCTACCAGCCCCCGCAGTGCACTACATCCAGGAGGACCATGTTAGAGTACCTGAAGAGGGGAGAGACTTGACACGGTGGCGCTCATGCAGTCTATCGCGAATCGATCGCTGGACAAGAAGCGTTTTAAACACCCATTCACAGAACATATGGAGATTTCAATGGGGGTACCCCCATTGATCATGCATTTATAGATGGGATGTTCCATGAATTTCCTATTATTTCGTGAGGTTGGGTCATTATTTTATGGAAGGCCCCCAATATGTGGACAGAAGCGTCAGGGAAGATGAGTCGAGCAATTTGGTTGACGCATCCAGGCATTTGAAATTCCCCAGAATGTGACGACTATTGGGGTGGTTATAATGTGAGTTATAACTGGTTGGTGGTTTGGAACATTTATTTTTCCATTCAGTTGGGAATTTCATAATCCCATCTGACTTTCACTCCATCATTTTTCAGAGGGGTAGGTATACCACCAACCAGATAATTGTATAGGTACCATTCGGTACCATAGTTTGTTGAGTTGCAGTGAGCTAAGAGAAAAGCGCTGATAGATGGAACAGAAACAGAACACATTTATGTGTTGATGTTTTGTTTAACATTTTCCATGGGAAAGTGAGCCTTTGTTTGCCAACTTTATGATCTTCCTGATTCTTAGTTGAGATGAGTATCCCCAGTTGATGAAAATGTGGGTTTCACTGAACATAAGGTACGCAATCCACGCAATCCAATGGTTTATCAAAAGTTTATTGTGAGTTTGTTCCATTCAAACGGCAAGTTTTGTGCTTGTTTTCTAACGGTTTCTATGGTTTATTATGAGAAAACTTCCAATATTGGAAGTTTCTCATCATGATTTTTTCTATGATGGACACTTACGTGTTTTCTCAAAAAGAGACCAACGCTGAAAACAGGTCTCCAACATAGAAAAACACCCCTGAAGTTCGAAAAAACTAAGTGGTGCCTCTGGTTTGGTCATGTTCCTTCTCCTGCCGGTGAAACCAACCACTTAAAACATCTTAAAACAGATACATAAACTGGCTGAATTAAAGTCTATAAATGATTGTTTACTTGATATTAACCACTATTTTTCATGTTTGATATATCCCTGAGGCTGTGTGGCCTCAAAAAAGTAAAAAAAAAAACGGCAATGTACCTAAAATACCAGGTCATCTCCGTAAAAGCTTAATTTCAAGGTCGTTTGTCGGAATGGGCTATGTTTTGTCGGAAAGTTTGTCGGAAAGGGCAGGTTTTCTGCCATTCTTGCTCTGACAGCGCATTGCGCATGATATTGTGATGTTCAACCAAACATCGCAAAACTATCTCATTATGAATTCATTCGTACATATGCTTTGTAATATCATTTAGAATTGGTTATTATCAAATTACAAGTGGTATTGTGTTAATCCCATTCCTCGTTCAGACCTTAAACACCCCCGAGTAAAAAGTAGGGAATGGAACCACACATTTGGGATCATTGAATGGGGGTGTCTAATATTAGAGGGAGTAGTCCTAGAATATTGCTGGTAAATACTAGCGTCTAAATCCCACAATGTTTGCAAAGCAAAAGAACCGATGTCCGGCAATCAAACCATGGCAACGGAAAAGAACACCACTGTGAGATGGTTTTCCCAGCTGTAAATTTCCCATCTAGTGGGGATTTCCAAAGCTGCAATGCCATCATGACCTTGTGTGGGTATCGTTTCAACGGCACTGACCACGCTGCAGGATTTCCTTTCGTGGATGCTGGCATGCGAGAGCTTGCAGTTGGTGAACCCCAGATGGTCTCTTTAAGGGGCCCTTTCTCTCTGTTAGGAAAAGGGTAGCTTAAGGAAAACTTCATGTGTTCGCCTAAAGATATCTGGCTGGTGGTTTCAAACATTTTTTATTTTCCATAATATATGGGATAATCCTTCCCATTGACGAACTCCATCATTTTTCAAGATGGTTGAAACCACCAACCAGATATGATAAGATATGTCATATGTCTATGTACCTACTGTATCCTACTGTACTCATACATAGCAATGCAATTACACTCTGTTAATAGATGTTAGCAGTAGATGATTTCCAGTCTGGGTATAGTCTCCGGTATACCATTGGCAAGTGGACGTCTCAGACCTCTTCAATGAGACTGTTATCATGCTTCGCTTTGTGCCCGGTGAGTCGGGTTAGAGGCCACCTATGGGACAAGCCCACTAGTTTAAGACTTGTTCTGCAGGGTTATTCTAGATTTCTTCGTGCAATATCTGTTGGATATTTGGGTCAGATTAGTGATTGCGGTTGAACTGGAGGGCCTCACTTTGTGCCTTGTTTTTTTGTCCATGACAAGATTTAATAGGTCGATTGTGAACAGAATGTCAGTATGGTCTCCCGGGCCGGGAAAATATCCCCATATCATATATCTTTAATTTTTGGGTGCTAAATTCCCCATGGTAGATGGCTAAGTCTCTGAGTTTGAATGGTGAAAATTCCAAGTGTTTATTGCTCAGCAATACGTAAACATGTCATGTGTTGCTTGCTTCAGAGCACAAACTTTGCTTGGTTAAAATCCAACTTTATTGTCGGTTCCTATCCCACTGGATCATTGGTTGACAACCATTTGGTTGCTGGTAAACATCTATATACCTGATTGCTGGTTGGTTTATGTCAGAATTTCTGGTGAAAAATGATATCCCATGTTGTTTACTGTTTGCTTATATGTTCAGAACATTGAGTGGCCAATATCCTAAATGTTGTTCTTAAGTTCAAGTATACAACCTATGAACATTTGGACGGACTATTTAGGACACACATCCAGCTCGATACCCTAAGATAGTTTTAGCAGTGGGAAATGCGAAATGCCGTCTCTGAATTTACAGCTTATAAATTGCCAGGAGAAAGCAATGACTTTCCACTAACCTACCGTAGATGTGCACTCAACAGAGTTCCTATGTTGAAGCATTTGTAGTGAGTTCAGTCAATTCCTTCAGCCAAATTCCGAAAAAATGTGGGTCATGGCCGCTCACAAATATTTCTTTGTTGGTGAATCAGAGCCGCAAGAGGTAAATTGGTGGATTTTCGTTCATGTTCCTTGTTTCGAGGTCAATCTTGGATGGCTAGTGAAAAATAATCCTTTATAGTCTTGGTATCAATGGGATGATCATATGATCTACGTTCTTTTTTCCAATTTATTTTTGTTGCAGGGTTTTTAAGATTGGCCATGGTTTATATAGCCTCCTTTAGATTCATCAAACACAAGAATTGGTGCTGGCCTCCCTGGAATGATTCAGGTACTCTCTTGCCACAGCAGTTTCTACTGTCTGAATCGAATCTTCACCAGTTACCGTCGGCCACCAGTTACCAGAAATGATGCCCAGTCCGATGGCTGATGAGGTCTCCACTGTGTACACCGAGATTGATCAAACTTTGTGACAAGCCGATCGAGGTTGCCACAGAGGAACTACTTTACGCCATTTGAATCCATTTGAGCCATGAAATACCTCTGTCCCGTCCCATGATACTGGTTGGTTTTTAGGTATGCCTATAAATGCCGCATTAGTGGGCTATGAGAATCCCAATGCATATCAATATATCAGTTACATTCAGTTACTATAACCGCGAAAGTAGCAAATTAGCCATCAAATAACCATCATTTAGCACGCATCTATCCTTATTTTAATGTTTGAAACCCTTCGAATCCCATGCTTGATGGTTAAATTGCCCTATAATATGGTGCCCCATGCTAAAATGTGTTTAACAATCCCATCTACCTATACTTATAACTATCACAAACCCTAGTCAACCTAGTTCTAAAATGTTCTAAACCAACTTAACTAAGATAAATCAGCCATAAATCCTATTGTTCCTTGGTTAAATCATCATTTTCTGACGGTCAGGACGGGATGATATGTGGCCCAGTTGCAATGCTGTAATTCCTCGTGTTTGAGTAGCTCTCAGGCCACTGGCTACATGAGTCATTTGCATCGCCAATGTTGTGCAGCCTTCCTTGCCGCTTGGCGCCGAATGAATCGTAGCTGACATAGCTGCCATAGCTATGGAGGCTTGGGACACCTCGAGTTTGATCGTTAATGAGGGTAACACAATTCCATAAGCCACATATTAATGGAGAAATGAATATAAATGGGAATATAACATGATACTGGGATATAAATGGATATCATGAGGGTAAAACAATGCCATAAACTACATATGAATGGTGAAAAACCAACTCTCTGTGGTGATTTGGGCAAAGAACTGGGGGATGGTTTATGGCTTTGTTTTACCCGCAGAGTTGGGTAAAGTGATGAGTTTTAATGACCAACAGGGCCAACAGGTAAGAGATTTGCAATGTTTCATTGATCCATAGGGATGCCAAAAAAGGTGAACATGCTCGTGAAACCAAGCAGCAAGCTGCTGGTCTTGGGTTATGTGGTTTCAGTCCATTTTAATAAAAGTAGATCATTTTCCTAGGAACAGCGTGGCTTTTCCGCATCTATGTTCGTTGACCTCCGGGTTTTTATATAACCGATGTTCGCATGATTAATCCCTAGATTTTTAGAGCAAGAATGGTACATTTCAATACATTTCACCCATCATTAAGGGATGGAATGACGATATAACATGGGATATGCAATGATGTACCCTCTGGTAAACTAACGTAAGTATGGAAAATCACAATTTTTAATAGGTAAATCCAGTATTTCTATGGCCATGGCGTCAATAGCTGCTATTGTAGGTTTACCAGGCCGGGTACAAGCAACTTTTCAGAATCTGGTTCTGAATTCGATGAAATTCCCTCACTTTTCAGAGGACGTCCTTTGTGATCTCCATGGATTCGGAGAATCAGCAACTCAAATGGCGAGAAATGACATCAGCTTACCCTCTGTTAATGACTAACAGGTTGCTATTGAAGCCATGGCCATAGAAATAGTTGATTTACCCATTAAAAATGGAATCTGTCCATAGTTTTTTGTATTTTTACCAGAGGGTAGTGAATTATTGCAATTGAGCCAGACTGGTTGGTGGTTTTGAACTTGGAATTTTATCTTTCCATTCAGTTGGGATTGTCATCATCCCAACTAACTCCATCATTTTTCAGAGGGGTAGGCTCAACCACCAACCAGATATGATATTAAATATTTGTTTTCCATAATATATGGGATAATCCTTCCCACTGACTAATAAATTATATCCATATGTGTTTTTTGTCACCCTCTGATGTCCCTATTATTTTTGTGAAACACTGGTCTATCTCCATGTTTGCTTCCCCATTGTGTTGATTTCAACATGTGTTTTCTCATAAAATAGTGAGTTGTCCCATAAAAAAAATGTGATTTTCCATAGTTTTTTTGTAAACGTTTACCAGAGGGTAAAACATTGTGTTTTCTCATAAATGGAAATGATTATCCCCCAATTTCTCAGGCTTATGTCCATTTCACGGAAATTTCTGCACTCGATGGCCGTGGCGCTTGGTGATGTCGCTATGATAGCTTCATTCGGATGGTCAATCTTAGATGGGTACAATGTGAGGCCCCCGGCCACGATAGCTAAGTTGGTTCAAAAGACTCCAATTTCACTATGGTTAATGGTACTTATAACATCTTATAACGAACTAGTTACTGGGGCTTATAAACCAACTTATAACTGGGGGAACCCGCATTGTAGAAACTAATTCTCTTTAGTCATGTCAGGTATCAATGGGATTGTCTACGTTCACCAGCTGAGTTTTTTTTTGCTGGGTATCTAAGATTGGCACTGCATTGCATCTCTAACATCCATTGATTCTTCATCCAGGTATCCACATTAATCCTAATCTTTATAAACCTGTTACCCTCTGGTAATCCAACAAGGCAACGGAACATCCCCCATTTATAGATGTTTTTTTCCCATAAAAAACGGACTTGTTGTAGGGGATTCCACATTGCCACGTTCTTCTATTTCTGCGCCCCATCATTGATTCAATCTCCATTAAATAGGCTAGCTGAGGCATCCCCCCTGTTCCATGCTGCCATTGGAAGGGCAGAACGCCCATCTTCAGACACACCCATTCCCCATTCATGTGGGTAAAACAATGCCATAAACCATCCCCAAAATCACCATAAATATATGGTATAAACCATGAAGATAGGTGGTTTCTGGCATTGTTTTACAAACATGATATCCATTTATATCCCAGTATCATGTTATATTCACAGGATAAAATCCCCATGTTTGGAGTTTTTGTTCTTGGATAACCTGGCAGGTTCGCAATCTGGGCCTTGACTGGCGCATGGGCGCAGAGCATTTCGAGCACTTGGGCAGACTTTATCTTGGGAGACTGGTGGGATGGCTATTGAAGTCATTGGGTCAACGGCCATTTCAGGAACCTAAATTGGAGGTACCTACCATATATAAGGCCTATATAAGGCCTATGTAAGGGAATATCCCCACAAAATATGGCCTTATATGGTACAGTACCTCCATTTTAGGATCCTGGAATTCCCATTGATTGGGGAAGTCACTGGGATTTTTGTTTATGGGATTTACCATCTGGTAAATTAACATGGACCCTGAAAATAGCCTAGTTTTAATGGAAACTAATCTTCCAACCCCGATGACGTCTATGTTAATTTACCAGCGGGTACACGGGGTGTTTATGGAACTTATATGCTATGTATATGGGATTTATATAGGATTTATGAGATTTATATGGGATTTATATAGTTTCATGATGTTGCATTGTGAAAAATCGATGAAACATTGGAGTGAATAAGGATGAATAAGGCATATATGGGATTTCACGATCAAACATGATGTCTCGAACCAGAAAAATATTGGGTGTTATTTGTCAAAATGGGGGTAGACCCACTGGCGTCTTTAGGACAGGAATCTTGTGCTGTAAATGGATATTTTTTTAAAAACCAGTTTGTGCTTCTTTGTATCTATGGCCGGCAATTGGGATTGATGAGGAATCCTTCGCAAAAAAACGAATGCTTTCAGACGAAGTGTGCTTCCCCGTAACTTGGGTTATCCATGTCAGCCACGAAGCCAATCGAGATTTGGGGGCTCTAGGCAAGGACTTGAAAAGTGCATCCCGGTGTCATGAGGGTCAAATAAACATACGATATCCTATAGATAGATAGAAAGAAAGATAGATAGATAGATAGACAGATAGACAGATAGACAGATAGACAGATAGACAGATAGACAGACAGACAGACAGATAGACAGATAGATAGATAGATAGACAGACTAGATTAGATTAGATTAGGTTAGGTTAGATTAGAATGGATGGATGGATGGATTTTCACGCAGTCAAATATAGGTTCATGTATGTACATATTCTATACATCATATTTACATCGTATTGGTTAAACATGGATGACACATTGATTACACATTGTATAAAAGCCTCCCAGGTCACAGTTACTGGACCACACACCTGATGCGAACTGGGGCAATTGGGCCTATCGTGCCTTGGTCCCTGCGGGTCCCCGCGACCGAAGCCGTCAAAGGATTCAGGGAATCATCCCCATGGTTGGCCGAACTCTGCAGGTAAGTGAAATATTGATATTATTAACCTATATTGTACAATGTGAGGCCCCCAAGATAGCTAAGTTGCTTCAAAAAACTCCATAACTATGGTTTATGGTACTTGTAACGAACTAGTTACTGTGGCTTTTGTTAACCAATTTATAACTGGGGGGCACCACTTTGTATTAACCTATATTTTAGATAATCCCAGATATATGCTATGTTTCCTATTGTATCGATTACACATACATCAAAATGTAAAATTGACCTACCAAACTGGTCATGTCAAGTAATACCTTCCGGGGGTTTATAACTTTGGCTTTGCAAGGAATGGTTGCCTGGAAGGTTTGCGAATGAATTGTCACATACAACCTTGTCACACAGGAGAATCAAATGCTTTAGCCTCCAGCTGAAATTACAATATGGAATTTAACATAAGGAAAGTCAGCATTTTCAGTAGGTGAATCTTCACATAGTCCATGTCTACCTTAAAAATCCTTAAAATACCGGGGCTTCCTTAAATACAGGATGGGATTCCTCGAATTCGAGGTTCCACGGTTCCACCAGCTGAGGTATTCTTCAACGACCATCCTTAGTTGAGACCAGAGCCAATTACCCCTTGGAGGAACATGTCAACACGGTGGAGGTGCAAACGTCACGGGATTCATGGGCTTCATCCTAACCGTTAGCGTAGTTAACGCACCGTAGCACCATATTGGTTCGACTTTAAAAAAAATGTCTGAAAATAGAGCTTTCCGTGGTTGTATCATCATGATTTTCTTATTAAATATTAAATGACATTTTTATAGATATACTTAACATGTTTATTCATTTTTCAGACGGTCCCATATGATGAACTCATGTTGTTTGTGTGGGAGATACATGGAGACACCACAATATGTTTCTCTGTAGTAGTCTATTGATGTAGGTCAAACAATATTCACGGTATGGTCGAAACTACGGGCTGGTTGCGTCGCGTCGCCGCGGATTCCGGGTGGGGACCTTCAAAAAGCTGGGAGAATCGTCAAACTACCCTCTGGTAAACATACAAAAAACGATGGAACATCACCATTTTAATGGGTAAATCATGGTAAATCAACGAACTAAATGGGCAATGTTCAATAGTTTTTTTGTAGGTTTACCGGAGGGTAAAACGGGAATGGTTCAGGCATCAACCTCTGAGTAACAGTAACAGAGGGTATCTTTAGAGACAGACAGATCAGATTTTCGCAAAGTTACAGCATCAAAGGAGAGAACCTCTTCCAGCTCATGCCCTTTTAATTTTCATTGTTGACCAATGATTCTGATTCAGACCTGTAGTAGCCGTTCACCACCTTGATTTTTGAGTGTTTAAGGTAGGGTGTTAGACGGTTTTACCATGTTTTACCATTTATCTTTATAAATTGTTATTAGCCTGCCTTCAATGAAAATAGACGCTGAAACTGATGGGTGTTGTAAGATTTTATTTTCTGAAAATCTGATTTCATTGATTTCTGAGGATCAATGAGAACCACCAATCTCCGTGTCAAGATATATATATATATATATTCACATCATCAAATCTATTGGTAGCATGAATTTCTGATTTTTTTCAACGGATGAAAAAATCCTTGACTCGAAATGGGTCTACATGGGTTGGAGGGATGGCACATTTCCTCGTTAGATTGGCTTTCCAGCATATTCCCATCATAGAATTGTTTGTAGCCACGTATTTGAACACAACATTCCAATTTTGTTGCTGAATACTGAATACCCAGAGATATCCATGAAATGACCCTTCCATTCCATTTGTTTTTTGCGAATACACTCATATCTATTGGATTATCTACGTTCACCAGCTAAGAATTTCTTTTTTGGCAGGGTATCTAAGATCGGCATCAAGTGCCGCAGCAGTTGTCATCCAAGTTCCGCTTTCGGCTTCTCGTAGGTGGTCGTGTGGCCTGCCGTGCACGATGCGCAGTTGGAGTGTCTCGTTCGTCGCTAACAAACGGGTCGTGAATGATCATGGGATTCAATCCAAAAATAGTTGGGTCTATTGATGGTTTATGAGATTAGTCATGCATTGCTTTATTAAATTACTCATAACGGTTTATTTTATTTCTTATCTTATCAATGTTTTATCGATGATGGCGATGTTTGATTTTCCAAGGATAGTCGAGATATCGACTCCATCAACTGATTTTGAGAAATTCCACGACTTATCAACTGCAGCTTTTTGAGAACGTCCCTCCTTTTTGCGAGGCACACATTGCTCTGGGTACCAGAACTCCAAGGTCTTCCCAAGGCTGCGAGGGTAGCATGGATTCATAGACCATCCCACGTGCACATTAAACATACCGTACCCTCTGTATGGTCCCAAAGATGTGTAAATCCCTTACGAAACCATGGCTTATTGGGGGTGCTTAGTAGTCGGGGAAGGGATTAGTAGTGGGGTACCAATTTTCATAATATAGTGAATCTCTTTTCTTTCGGGGCAACCCCCCAGTGAATCAACAGACTTTATTTGTTTGGGGTTGATATTACACCGATTGTTTTGTTTTAGTTTTAGGCAACAAACATCGAGTTTCAACTGTCAAGGATTCAAGGATGGAAAAGTCTTTAAGGCCTGGTGAATGGGCACCCCTCAAGATAGAGTTTTCTTTCCGGTGGGCCACAATGATTAACTTTTGACCATCAAGCTCTACATAAACCAAGCGCCAAAGGGCAGGTCACTGCGCTGCCTTTAGCAAAGATATGTGCCATGGTCAAAAGCTGGATGAATTGTTTTTATTGGTGAATGGTCGTTTACCCATCAATATACATCAAATTATGGGATGGATGACCATGTAACTTGACCACGGCACCGTCCTCTTTCCTTTCAGGACCTAGCACGAGAGCCCTGGCGCACTGAAGGGCAGCCCAGCAAGCGGATCCAGATCAAACCCTACAAGGTCTGACCTCTGCGGGTTGTGAGATGTAAATCAACAATGCTTGGATATGTTTGGGCTGTTTGGGAAGATATTTTCCATATATATTTTACCATACACGTTTTGTTTGTCCATTCAGTTGGGAATGTCATAATCCCAACTGACTTACTGACTCTAATGGTTTTTCAGAGGGGTAGGTATACCACCAGATTACATCCCCCTGGCTGGGCTTTCCTACAATGGGGGTAGCCCCAAATCATCCATCTTAAATCATCATAGGATGTCGGTTGTAAACAGGCCAGGGGGTATCCCCACGATTTCTATGGTATTCCTATCGGATTTCCATGATGTTTGATATTTGTATGATATTTCTCTTGGATTCCTATGATAATTCTATGCCTATGATAATTCTATGAGATTATGGAAGCCTCTGGAAATTCACAACTTTGAGGAGCACACTGCTGAAGCCATACTGTATCTCCTGGCTGGTGGACCACAACTTGGCAGGTATCCTGATGCGTCAATTCAAGGTATGGTCTTTCAGAGGCAAAGATATTATGTACCTAGGCTATGTCTTTTCCGAAGCCAAGCTCCCCGAAGTTTCTGGTACAAACCAGTAGGGATGAAGTAGAGTAGTATCACTTTAAAGAAGCATCGAAGCAGCAAAAGCAGTCCTTTTGTTGTTAAAATGGTAAAGGAAAATATGATTATGAACACGACTTCTAGAGATGTTAGCCAACAAAAATTGGATTCTGGCCAGCTAAGTGTTTTTTTTGGTACAGACAAATGAGATCGTCGTTTCCAAGATGAGGACTTTAACCAGCAAAAACAAAGTTCGTGCCATCACAAATCACATTTGGTGTAAGTGGATGACAGTCCCCTCTTCAAACCTCCAGTAAATCAACTGATTGGTGGTTTGGAACATGGCTTTTTTTGACTTTCCACATATTGGGATTAATGGATTATAGTGGTTCAATGGATTCTAATGGATTTTAATGGATTTGTCCATTCAGTTGGGAATGTCATCATCCCAACTGACGAAGTCCAAGGTTGACGTGGAAAACCGTGTGGTTCCATCATTTGCCGACCGGAGACCCATGACCGCAGGACTCGCCTTTGTGGTTTTGCGCAGCAAATCGCACCAACTGGGACTATGAGTATTTCTGGTCACTTTGCCTCGTTTATTGATGTTTTGCTTTGCCATTGTTGGAACATGTTGGAACTGTTTGTTTTCTTCACGTGTGTGGGTTAAGGCTGTATATGTTTATATTTGTATATGTTGACATTCCATAGTCGTGGGTTTTTATTTGTTGTAAATACATTCCAACATAGACTTATATTCCAACAGTTAAGTCTTTGGGTGGCATCTATTCCATTTATATACATGGTATCTGGGCAAATTATAACAACCTCACTGTTCTCCCTCACTGGAATCATGGTTAACAAGAGGAATCATCCCAAAATGGCCCAACAGTTCAGGCTAGTGAATTGTTATAATTTGCCCAGATAAATCATGGTTTTCTTAATATCAACCACTATTAATCATGTTTAATATATTTTTATGATTGATTATTATTAAGTTACCATTGGTAGTGTGGTAATCCCATTCCCCGTTCAGACCTTAAACACCCCAGTGTAAAAAGTTGGAAGTGGAACCACACATTTGGGACCATAGAATGGGGGTGTTTAATATTAGAGGGAGTAGTCCGAAAAAAAAAAAAATAGAAGTATCAGAGGGATAATTCCATAGTTGTGGAAATAGTTACAATCCAAAGGTGGTTTAGTTTCACCCCATGAACATCCATTAACTATGGTTATACAATGTGGTGCTCCCTAGATAGCGTCCAGTTGCCTCATAAGTGGCTTAATTATGGTTTAGAGTAGATATAACGACCTAGTTAATGGGGTTTATAAACCAACTTATAACTGGGGGGCACCACTTTGTAGTTATTGTTAGTTAAAATCCATATGTTGGTTTAGTTTCACCCCATGAACATCCATTAACTATGGTTATCTGGTTGGTGGTTTGGAACATGTTTTTTTTTTCCCATTCAGTTGGGAATGTCATCATCCCAACTGACGAACTCATATTTTTCAGAGGGATAGGCATACCACCAACCAGAATTCCATCCAACTATATTTAGGTTATGTTAGATGATTCCCACAAAGCCATTTTTCTTACCTTACAATGTGATGTTTGTTGATGTACATGGCTATGTTAAATAACCAGAGGGTAACTTTGGTTATATCTACCATGAACCATTCAATTCATCCCCAAGACTTCACTCTTTGGACAGGATCAACAACCGCGCCTCCAAGGCTCCCAGGTGATGCATGGATCGTGAAGCATGGGAAAGCTGAATCCTGGCATCCACGGCCGGTTTCGGAAACGAAAAAAACCATCAGATCCCATGGGAAAATGGGTGACTGAACCGATTTAGATTGGTTTAACAGATTTTTAACCAAGAAAAAATGATGATTTCTCATGGGATTTAGAGATATTTCTAGCTGATTTATGATAGCAAAGTTGGGGGCCACATCCAATAACTATGGTCCCAGCTTGGCTGGTTTGAACCACCCCTTTGGGATAACAATTTTTCGGGCGGATAGCAATTTTTCGTTCGCTAATTTTGGGATCCAATCCAAGAAAAACTGCTTGGTGGTGTAGAACATGAATATTATTTTTCCATATATTGGGAATGATCATCACGTTCATATTTTTCAGAGGGGTAGGTTGAAACCACCAACATCAACCAGAAAAAAATGTGAATGTATCAAAATGTATCAAGGAAACATATGAATAGAAGATTTTTATCAACATCATACAACCAACATTCAAATGCTATACCCTCTGGTTATTTAACATAGATGGTTTACCTATTAAAAATGGTGATTTTCCATGGCTATGTTAAATAACCAGATGGTATGTGTTTTTTCCTAAAAATGGGCTTTATATACCCCGTTTCAGCAACACGATCCAACCGTGTGATCCTTTCTGCTTGGCGTGGCGAAGTTGGTGAACTAACTGGACTATAACGGTTGGATGTGTGGTAGATTAATGGCCATTTAATGCATTTTAATGGCCATTTAATGCATTGGAAATGGCGATTTAATGGATTTTAATGGTGATGTAATGGATTTTAATGGTGATGTAATGGGATTTGATTGGGATACCCTCTGGTAAACATTCACAGTTTGCTATGGAAACCATGGCCCATTTATAGATGGTTTACATTGGTTTACCTATGAAAAATTGTGATGTTCTATAGCTATGTGAGTTTACCAGAGGGTAAGTAGATTGGTGAACATAAACCAGCAAACATAACTGGCGGTACCAAGCGGTGCGTGCCATTTGGATAAAGTTTGCTTGAGCAAGTTGCTCTGTGATGTTTCAGCCATTTTGATGTGGTTATAAATTACCGCAGAAACATGAAGGATATCTGAGATTGACCATGTGTGGTTGGTGATGAAGTCGTAGTTTCCTGCAAATTTATGATGGAGGGCAATCAGGTGGGCGGGCTCTGAAATCGGGAAGTGACATTGGGATTCACTGGGCTATGTTATCTCATGTTACAAGTAGATATCACTGGTTAGGAGTAGTTCGGGGTACACTTCTCACCCGACATATTCTTGTATTCCAGTGGTACATCATATCGCAACTGTTGTTGGTTCAAGCTGTTTCGTAGGTCATAGAGACCCATTTGATCCATTCAAAATAGCATGGTTAATTGATTGCGATAGGGCCTATAGGGGATTATACTACCTGGTTTACTGGGGATTTTGATAACCCATAGTAGGGAAACCGTTTTCAACCAACTAGTACCAGTAGTACCGCACAAGGCGGTGGCGGAAGTTTCAAAAATAAGAAACCTGTAGGAGAGGTTGGTTGTTGTGAATCAGGGATGGCAAAGCGAAGCCACTGCTGGATTGAAAGGTGCTTGATCTCTCTCACTCTTTCTCTCTCTTTCTCTAACTATCTACCTACCTACCTATCTATTTTCTATGTATCTATCTATCTCTCTATCTAGCTATCTATCTCTCCCTCTCTCTCTTTCATTTGATGACCCTATCTATCTATCTATCTATCGATCTATCTACCTATCGACCTATATATCTATCTATCTCTCTCTCTCTATCTATCTCTCCGTCTATCTAACTATCTCTCTATGTATTTATCTAGCTCTCCATGTATCTATCTATCTATCTATCTATCGATCTATCTATCTATCTATCTATCTATCGATCTATCGATCTATCGATCTATCGATCTATCGATCTATCGATCTATCGATCTATCGATCTATCTATCTATCTATCTATCTCTCCATCTATCGATCTATTGTTGTTGTTGTTGTTGTTGTTGCTGTTGCTGTTGTCGTCGAAGTTAGGGTAGTTGTGTTAGTGAAGGTACTTAAGTTAGTCAAGTTAGTTAAGTTAATCAGTGTCTACTTTTTCGACATCAGCACGTCAAAAAAGGCTCAAAACCCTCAGTTTTTTACACTTTTGACTTCGAAATGTGCTTCGCGCCACAACGGCGTGCACTTTTTCGACACTTTTTCGACATCTGAACCTCCAAAAGTGGTCCGAGACCGCCAGTTTTTAACACTTTTGACTTCGAAATGTGCTTCGCGCCACAACGGCGTGCACTTTTTTGACATCTCAACTTCCAAAAGTGGTCCGAACCCCTAGTGTTTTTAACATTTTGACTTCAAAATGTGCTTCGCGCCACAACGGCGTGCACTTTTTCAACATCTCAACTTCCAAAAGTGGTCCGGACCTGTTGTGCTTTGTACATTTTGACTTCGAAATGTGCTTCGCGCCACAACGGCGTGCACTTTTTCGACATCTCAACTTCCAAAAGTGGTCCGACGCTGTTGTGTTTTGTACATTTTGACTTCAAAATGTGCTTCGCGCCACAACGGCGTGCAAATTGTCATCTCTCATCTGGCCAGCTGGCTCCGCACCCGCCGCTTTAGCGAGCCTACTTTTCGACCCTCCGGAGCCACAGATCATTGGAAAAACACAGTGTTTCGCGACTTTCCTACCTTTTCGCGCATCTGTGTCTTCTGTCCTCTTACTCTTTCTCTTCTGATCTTCTCTCTTCTAATCTTCCTCTTCTCTCTGCCTCTGCCCTGCTCTGCTTTTCATCTGTCCATATTGTCGGAAGTTTGACTTCTAAACTTCCTTCGATAATGAGATAATCATCAATCCATAGGGATCTACATACCCTACATGCCAATTTTCATGTGGTTAAAGCAATGCCATAAACCACCTATTTGAGAATGGTAAACATACTACTTATTTATGGTAAATTTGGGGATGGTTTATGGCATTGTTTTAGGATGACCATGGGCCCCATGATAACCCACAGGATGAGGCACCCAGTGATGTGAACGTTGGTTTATAAACCATGATGGTATCCCCATGAATACTATACCCCCTGGTAAACTAACAGTTTGCTTTGGAAAATGGCCCATTTATAGTTGATTTACCTATTAAAAATGGTGATTTTCAATAGCTATGTTAGTTTACCAGAGGGTATAGTTACTAGTTCGTTATATCTACCATAAACGATAGTTAATTCAGCCACAAATGAATAAGGCGTGGCGTGGCGTTTCTGACGCCGACGCCTGAGGAACTTCGCCACGAAAACTTTCAGCTGCAGCGGGACTATTTCAGACCTCTGGTGCCAGCATTGAACGTGGCGTTGGATCTCGATGCGCCCTGGTCCTAACCCATATGCTCACCATGGTGCTGGAATCATGGTTGCGACCTCACTGTTCTCCCGAACCCTGGAATCATGGTTAATAAGAGGAATCATCCCAAAATAGCGTTATTTCAGGTTAGCAAATTGTTTTAATTTACCCAGATGTATGTTATATTTACCTACAAAACTGGCTACAAAACTGGGTTATTTTGGACAAGGGCAAATGTTGGTGTGCATATTCCAGCACCATTTTGTGCGCATATCGGGTGATTAAGCTGCTGTCCCAGTGATGGAAATCTAAGGAAAAAAGATCTATAAATTGAGAAATAACTATGTAGAACCCAGTGATATAATTTCAACCCTGGAGTAATAAACCCCAAACGGCTGTTTAATCGGGAAGGTACCATAAAAAAGTATCAAATCATGACTATTGGGGGAGTACCCCCCTAATTAATAAACCATGGTTTATTAATCCGGGGTTGACATTACCCATAATGCCCCAGTTTTATGGTTTGAATTTCTGGTTTTCTCGTTGGTTGTTTGGAACATCAATGGATTATATTTTCCATATATATATATATATTTCATGTCATCATCCCAACTGACGAACTCATATTTTTCAGAGGGGTTGAAACCACCAACCAGATAAATTGGCAAATAGGATGGGGATTACCATAGTCTCAACGGGTATGTTTATGATTGTTGATGTTCACCAATGAAGCTCGTTCGATATACCATAGATCTACCATTGGTGGTCTTGGTTCGTTCATCCGGCACAATCTCTTTTGCAAAGTGCAAGGTGAGCTCTCCCGAGATAGGTTTCTTTTTGATGGAGTTGTAACAACTTCGAGGATTGCCAGAATTGTTACCAAAGTGGTTACCAAAATTCGTGACTAATTACTATAGATGGAATTATAAAATAGCAAACATAAACTTGGGGGCCCTACATGATCAAACATGGCTTGCTGGAAAATCCATCATTTATAGACCATTTAGAGGGATTTCTTAACCATGTTTGATTACCGAAGGGTAGTTCCGAGTTATAAGTCGTTTTCAGAACCCCATTAACTATTGTTGCAACAAATACCATAAGCCGAAACAAGAATCGTAGATATTTGGGTGATTATAACTAGTTATAGTAGCTATGGCCAACTCACATAAGAAGTTACTAAGTTGTTACAATGTGAGGCCCCCGTTCGATAGCTAAGTTGGTGCATATAATTCCAATAACTTTGATTTATGGTACTTACACCTTATAACGAAGTAGCTGGACCACGGCTTATAGACGGCCGTGTTGGGGTGGAGTTTTTTGGTGTGGGCGGCTCTAGGAGCGCGCGCACGTTGCACTATTTTGCATTGTTGTTTCTTGGGGGGTTCTTTTTTTTTGGGGGGGGGGTAAGTTTTTGGGGGGTTCGGGGGGGGGGGGCTAATAACGTTCTTCGCTGGCCGTCTTACAAGATATTCTCTTGGACTTGCTGCTGCGCTATCCACTCTTCTCTTGCACTGTACCTTGCCACACGCTATCAACTTTCGGGGGGGGCTAATAACTTTCTTGGCTGGCCGTCTTGCAAGATATTCTCTTGGATTTGCTGCTACGCTATCCACTCTTCTCTTGCACTGTGCCTTGCCACACGCTATCAGTTTTCGGCGGGGGGCTAATAACGTTCTTGGCTGGCCGTGTTACAAGATATTCTCTTGGACTTGCTGCTACGCTATCCACTCTTCTCTTGCACTGTACCTTAAAAATTGCAGACATACGAAAAGAAAGATGGCCATCACAAAATGAGCTAAGGTGTGCAATCGATGATCCAGCACTGGATGTGGCGTCAAAGACTTTTGCCGTGTTCTCCCAAAGAATTGATGTCACACCTTGTCGATCTGATGAAGAAACATCATGACTTTCAATAACGGTTTCATCCACTGAAACAAATAGTTTGGGTGCTTTGCAAAACCACTAAAAAAACATGTATTTCCCAATGCAATTACGAGATGAAGCCGCTTTAACCAATGGCACGGCTGCATGAAAAGTCCAAAATGGACTTGGATGCTCAGACCACTGTAAATCAGCAGAAAAACAAAAGGCAAGAATTGACGGTGTGCTGATTTCCTCACGGCCGCCTGTGAGCCGTGTACCTAGTTACTGGGCCCTTTGTTAACCAACTAACATCACTGGGGGGCCTCACATTGCATTAACCTATATTGTAGATAATCCCAGATATATGCTATGTTTCCTATCATATCGATTACACATACATCAAAATGTAAAATCATGAAGTTGCTATGACATGTTAACCGGATGTTCCCCCAGGTTGTCGTGTCCGTGGTACTCCAAGGCCTTGCCTGTGCAGCACTTCGTATGGGGCGACACTCCAGCCTCGAGCCGTCCACATATCTGGGGAGGCCCAAAAATACGCGGGGAACCCGGGAATAGATGGGATTTACTACCTAAAAATGTTGGGTGTTGTGTGATTTTACGCAAAAAAAAAAGCTGTGATTTATATGTTTTTCGGCCAACATGTTTATTTGTTTCTACTTTAAATACTACTGTAGCACATGAAAAGTGGACAATAGATTTACTCCCTGGCTATGTAACATAGCCATGGAAAATGGCCCATTTATAGATGGTTTACCTGGGTTTACCTATTAAAAAAAGTGATTTTCCATGGCTATGTTAAATAACCAGATGGTAATAGATGTTTCAATTTCAATGGTTCCAATCCCGACTTGAGTGTAACCATTGAGGAATGAAACCAGCTTGCTAAACTCACCAGGGCTTGTAAGGCCCTCCGACTAGTTTACCCAATTTTTCTTGAGGTTGCTGCAATTTTTCACCAGTAGCTACGTTTAGTATACTAAAAATGAGGATTGTACCCAGTCAAAAATTAAAACACGTGATTTTTCGCAAAAAACCCATGTGTTTCTGTTGGGTTATACTGCTGAAAATGGAGATTTATCAGTTCGAAAATTGTGGTTTGGTCGCATGCCTGATGGAAACAAAAGCACACAATGCAATATAGAAACTCTACAAAAAATACGTTCGCAATTCCACCGATCAAAAGGCGTGCCGCTCGAGATATGTGCGGCCAACCCTTCGGGTGCCATGCAGGGGATTGATTTTCAACGTTACCTCCACACAGATCGTTGTTGGACATCATAAATTGAAAGATGTTTACTGTGAGTAAACCATCCCCAAGTTCACCATAAGTAGATGGTATAAACCATTCCCAAATGAGTGGGTTATTATTGCCCGCCACCGTGCAAGGGGCAGATAGTGAGCGTGGATTGCCACATGGAGCGTGTCAAAAGTTGGATTGCATACTTGTATGCCGATGTTTGTGGATAGTAAATCCATGTTCATAGGGATATATATATATATATACAATTATATATCCATTGTAAGGATTTCCAATATGGCATGGAAAATCATAAAACGTATACTATGTTTCCACCCCAGCACATATAGAAGCTGGTTGGTTGTTTGGACCATTTTTTATTTTTCCATATATTGGGAATAACAATCCCAACGGACTTTCATATTTTTCAGAGGGGTGGCTCAACCACCAACCAGAGAAGGTTTCTGTGAAAACAGGATATGATATACCCTCTGGTAATTTAACATAGCGATTAAAAATGGCCATAGAAATAGTGGATTTACCGATTGAAAATGGTGATTTTCAATAGCTATGTAAACGTTTACCAGAGTGTATTCCAATGGATTAAAGCTTCATGTTCCATCATGGAAACCCAAAAAACAGATGGCCATAGCTTGGGTTGAAATCCCCTACTGTCAGACATACCCAAATACTAGGTGATATATATATATATATATGATCCCATTTACATATATATATATATATCCCATAGAAATGTTTACACACATACATCCCATGATATATTTCCATTGCATATCCACTATATCATACTATATCCACATCAATGGCCCACGTCACCTCGTCAGGCGAGCGTCGAGGAGTCAAGGTTTTCAAGGTTTCCCGGTGGGAAAAGCGTGCCGGTTTCCATTGGCCAGACAGAGAAACGGAATCTCGTAAATATTCAGTATATATATATAATTAGATATATATATATATTTATATATATGTATGTTACATATAATGTACAAATATCATATGTATATGTATATATATATATACATAATGTAATAGATATAGATATAATAAGAATAAATATGTTATATTACGTAATTTGTTTGTGATATCTATCTATCTATATATATATATATAGTTTAGATCATATGTCATTGGATTTACTTGCATATATCATTGAAATGTTTTTTACATGATGAGTCTGACCACTTCAAAAGCTTTCCAATTTTCCTTCTACTTTTGGGATTTTCCAACTGAAACCATGGATTTTCCCAGGGCCAGATTTCTTTGGTCAAAGAAACTGTTTCTTCATATCATTGAGGTTGTCTGAAACCTCGCATTGGTTAGTAATGGTTAATGATGGTTAATGATGGTTACTGTAATGATTGTTAATAACCAATGGTTTTCAGACAACTGTAACCATATATTGTTAATGATTGTTAATAACAACCAGTGGTAACAATCATTATATAATGGTTAATAACGGTTAATAATGGTTAATGACTGGTTGGTGGTTTGGAACATGTTTTTTCTATATCAGTTGGGAATGTCATCATCCCAACTGACGAAGTCCATCATTTTTCAGAGGGGTGGCGAAAAACCACCAAGCCATTTTCTGAGGAGAAGGGGAAAGGAAAAGGATATCGAAGAAGTGGCACCTTGGCATGGATAAACCTGCACAAAAATACAGCAGTTGCTACATGAACCCCTGTTGCTTGACAGTGAGTTCTGGGTTAGAACGGTTATACCCTTTATCGGAGATAAAATCATAATCCATGAACTCAATGAACTAGCAATTCCTACGAGTCAAATAGAATGATAGAGGCTTTACCCTCTGGTAAACCAGCGTAACTATGGAAATTCACCATTTTTAGTGTGCAAATCAACGATTTCTATGGCCATGGTTTCAATAGTTGTTTGTAGGTTTACCAGGGGGGAAGCAACTGGGCAAATCATAGGAGGCATCATCCCAAAGATAATAGGAAAATCATCCCCCACGAGATTCGTTTCTGATTTCTGACTTGGTGAAGTTGCTCACAGTCCAATGTGTGCCCGAGACTAGTTGGGCTCGTAGTTCGGATTTTCGGTCCACCATTTTGTTTTCGACAATTTTGACTTCATCCTCCCACTGAGCAATTGGTTAGAGTATAAACTTCCTAACTGGTTGTTGATTTGGAACATGTTTTTCTGTATATTGGGAATGTCATAATCCCAACTGACGAAATCATTTTTTTCAGAGGGATGGCGAAAAAACACCAACCAGCTAAAAGTGCAAAGTCTGATTCAGGATCGGTCTCTACGGCAAGATCTATTTCGGGGGACTAAAGACGTATTTAGGGACTTAGGATACACGTCTGATAAACTTATAAATAAGATAATTTGAGTTCAGAAACTTGCTAACTGAATGATTCATGCGGAAAATTCCTGGCAAGATCCAGGGTTCCAGTTACAGTAGCTCTGGGGAAGCAGCAACGCATTTACCCTTGTATGTAAACCAACAGTTTGCTCAAGAAGCCACCATTTTGTCATTGGTTCATCCATAAAGGGACTATTTTCTATAGCTATGTTAGTTTACTGTGGGGTATAACTTGGTGATGTTCCGTAGCGAAGTGTTAGATTACCAGGCGGCAAACAGTTGGATTCAGCTGAATTACTGTAACTAGATTATGGTGGATATATTTGCCTGGTTGGTGGCTTGGAACATTTTTTATTTTCCCATATATTGGGAATAATCATCCCAACTGACTTCCATATTTTTCAGAGGACCAACCAGATGCAGTTGGACGGCTATAAGTCAACTTATGTCAGATTTTTCAGATTCCATTCATAGAGGATTCGGCCCTAATATTTGTTTCAACAGTCAAAGCTAAATTACAATTTAGATAACTAGGAGGATATCCCCATATCGCAATTTTTGTTGGTTCCCTCTGGTAATAACTAACAGTTTGCTTTTGAAAATTGCCATTTTGCTGCTTGATTTACCTTTTAAAGGTAATAAAGATGGTGATTCTTCATAGCTACGTTAGTTTACCAGACAGTAATCAATGGGAATTCCAGGATCCTAAAATGGAGGTACGTTCGTACCATATTTTTGGCCATATTTTGGGGGGATATCCCCTTACATAGCCCTCAAAAATAGGCCAAAAATATATGGTAGGTACCTCCAATAAATCGGATCCTGAAATTCCCATTGAAGTAAGTTCCCCACGATATTCCACATCTGTTGATTTTGTTTTTTTGTATCGAGATTTCGCCACTTTGCCTTACGTGCTCCTCACAAGGCAAACGTCGGGATTGATGAGGTCGAGTTAAGGATGTTAGGGTCGGCTTGAGGGAGCACAAGGCCTGCTACTGTAACTGGTAAAGATTAGAGGATGAGAATATCATGATATTACAACAATATCCAGCTGGGTGTGTCCGAAAATGCATGTAACATGTTTATTGAGGGAAAAAACAAGATCGAAGATTGTAACTAACTAGAATGGGTGTGTGTGTATATATATATATACGTAGCCGCCAATATTGGTTTTGTCGATGTTTCTGAAATTAGGTCACACCACCATTTTGTTGTCGGAAAAAGGATTACTGTATACGACCCCGGGTTTTGATGGCAATATTCCGGCATATTCTGGCCACTGGTTGTAATATCAACCCAAGATTAATAAACCCATAGAAATCCCTAGTTTACAAAAAATTACATGGGGTACCATCCACAAAGGGAAATAGCACTGTTTCGGGATCCCCCCTATTATCAATAAACCGGTGGGGTTTCAATTATCCCATGATATTCCCATAAGATATTGATTACCCCCCAAACTTAGCCACTTACTGGGATGGTCTTATCAAACCATGCAAGACAGTTGAGTGATTCCCACGTTTTCACCGTGTCCAGCTGGAAAGTACTGAAAATGGTTGTAATTACCCACAAATAAGAGTTTTAAATCCGGCATAATGAAGCTTTAATCCATTGGAATTCTGGATTCTGGGTAGCCTATGTTCAAACAAACCCTATGGATATATTGAGGTTCTATGATCAAGAGACTTTCTAGCACCGAAAAATCCCCCTGTTTGCCGCAATGCAGACGACAATGCCACGGCTCAGGAGAAACACGCCTGAAATTTTCTGAGCCTCGCGCGACATGTTCGCGATGCTCAAGCTCGGTGCAGCCAAAGAGAGCTTCACCGTGTACAGTGCTTCAAAAAGATATGCGGATACCTCTGGTAAACGTTTACATAAGTATGGAAAATCACCATGTTTAATAGGTCAATCAACTATAAATGGCAATATTCAATAGCTATGTTAGTTTACCAGACAGTATATATGGTTTCATTGGTTGGTGGTTTGGAACATTTGGATTATTTTTCCATATATTGGGGATGATAATCCCAACTGGCTAATACTTTTCAGAGGGGTGGCTCAACCACCAACCGGTTTCATATTGCAACAAGAATGGGCTTACCCTCGGCTTACCCTCTGGTAAACTAACAGAACTATAGAAAATCAAATCACCTTTTTTAGTCGGTAAATCATTTATAACTGGCCATTTACATAGTTATGAGTTATGTATGACTCTTATAGGTCCATAGGTGTGGATCAATGTCACTCTTAGCAGGATGTTGAATGGTTTTGACCCATGGAAATGTTCAGTACAATGTGAGGTCCCCCAGTTATAAGTGGGTTTATAAGCCCCATTATAACTATAGTTATATCTGCCATAAACCATAGTTATGGGAGTTACAAACCAACTTTGCTAACTATGGGGCACCACCTTGTAGTAATTACTGATGATGATCAGGAAATAGCCACCCAATTGAACAATATCGAACATACAATGTGAGGCCCCCGTTCGATAGCCAAGTTGGTGCAAATAACTCCAATTTCATCATGGTTTATGGTACACATATAACGAACTAGTTACTGGGGCTTTTGTTAACCAACGTTCACATCACAACGGGGGGCCTCACTAATTGTATGTTCTGAAATTCACAGTCCATTGATTAACGTACCACATGATGTGGTGCAAATGGATTCAAATGTGTCATTTTCTTAATCGTTTCGTTGGATGATTTTCCGCAATTTTCCTATCTCGATGCCCATTTAGTTTTGGGGATTTCCCAGCCAGTCATGTTTGACACCGAAGGGTATAGCCCCGAAATCCTTTCTTTTGCTCTTACATGGAGAGGTTTGCTCTTCCATTTTTGAAAGCTGGTTGCCGAATCCAGACCTTTGTTGGTGATTTCCCATAAGGTATTTGTGCACGAAACATCGCAATGTTTTGTTGGATTTGAATCTTAAAAAAAAGCACATGAATCACCCGTATTTGTTGGCAAATAGATGGTTCGTTTGCTGATGGATCAAAAACCAAAGAAAATTACACAACAGTTTGGTTTCGGATAGTTTGCAACATCCATAGATATCCCAAAAATCCCATGAATTCAACATATCCCATCTATTTTGCTACGAAAAATCCATGGGGAATTCCGCCAAGGGGATTCCATGGTGGCCAGGTGACAGCCATCACGGTGATCGGTGGAGATGGAGGAACGGCACCGAGCAAAGTGAAGCGGGGAAGCCTGGTGTCCACTGGTTGCTTCAGTTTTTCATAACCAATTTTGGCAAATCACCATGTTTAATAGGTCAATCAACTATAAATTGCAATATGCAATAGCTATGTTAGTTTACCAGAGGGTATATATGATTCTGGTTGTTGCTTTGGAACATGGTTTTTATTTTTCCATGTATAAGGGAATAGTAATAATACCAACTGACTGTCATATTTTTCAGAGAGGTTGAAACCACCGACCAGATTGGTATGGTATTACATATCCTGCTACTTTCTCATTCAGAATATGATTTAGATCCTTAGAATAAAATACCCTCTGGTTATTTAACATAGCTATGGAAAATGACCCATAGAAATAGATGATAAAAATGATGATTTACCTATTCAACATAGTGATTTTCCATAGCTACTGAATTAGATTATATTGATATACAATGTGAGGCCCCCGTTCGATAGCTAAGTTGGTGCAAATAACTCCATTTTCACTATGGTTTATGGTACACACATAACAAACTAGTATTCCTGGGGCTTTTGTTAACCAACGTTCACCTCACAACGGGGGGCCTCACATTGTATGGGTTATCTAATGGATAATCATGGCTAACTAACTCCATGGGATAATCGGATAATCGCGTATGCTTTTCAGTCATGGGCCCATCGCATAATGGTTGGTAAAATGAGCAGTGTCACACCATGGTGACTGATGGAGATACCCTCTGGTTATGACTAACATAGCCATGGTATAGATGGCCCTAATCGAAATAGATGGTTTCCCGTTTTTAATACCATGGTGATTTTTCATAACCAGATAGTAATAATTGATGATATTGATTCAGACTGATAGTATTCATTGATATTAGATGAATAGTTTATTCTATGTTTTTTTCGACATCCATTCAGTATCATCGATACCCATCAATATCAAGTGATATCAAGTGATATACCCATTAAATCCCGTTAATATCCAATCATATCATGAGGTATCCTTGGACTAGGTCAATGGTGATTGATGGAGATCATTGATATTGATGAATAATTTAATGTTATTGTATATATATATATACATATATATTTGGGGATGATGATACTTTTTGTTTGAGGGCAAATTATAGTGACCTCACTGTGAGCTCGCTTGAATCATGGTTTTCCGATTGGGGGAATCATCCCCAAATTGTAGCGAAATTGCCGGCCGGAGGGGACGGAAGATGGCCGAAGTTGTGAATTTACCGAAATATTACCATCATTTTACCAACCATTATGCGATGGGCCCATGACTGAAAAGCATACGCGATTATCCCATGGAGTTAGTTACCCATTATTATCCATTAGATAACAACTGAAATCTACCCTCTGGTAAATTAACAGTTGGACCCTGGCATGAATTATGGGGTTGGAAGATGAGTTTCCATTAAAACTAGGCTATGGATTCAGGGTCAACAAGTTAATTTACCAGAGGGTATAGTTTACCCAGATTGGTTGGTTCAGTCATCATCGAAATTATGATGGTAATAACTAGACTATGGACCCAGTTAGATTTATGGGACCCCAGTTTTGTTTAGGTTATTAACGAAGAATTGATGAATAATGGTTGAACATGTTTTTTTAGAGGTGATTAATATTGATTACGAATTTTCGTTTTTTGGAGGATGCTGCAATATATGGTTTAGTTTTGTTTTTTGTGGTTATACTACCTTAGCTGGGAGAATCGAAAGAACTACGGCATCAGAACTTGAGTACACAAAAATGAGATGATCAAAAAAAAGAACATCTGGTTGGTGGTTTGAAACATTTGGATTATTTTCCATATATTGGGAATAGGAATTCCAGCTGACGAACTCATATTTTTCAGAGGGGTGGCTCAAAACCACCAACCACACATGCATCTTTGCATTTATAACTCGGTCTGACGTGCTTGACCTATCATCATTTTTTTCATCGCCGCATCACCCAATTGTTGATAAAGATTCATGTTCTTCATCCTCTTCATGGTATATCTCTGGTGAACTAACATAGCACTTGAAAATGGCCATTTATAGTGGATTTTGCCATTAAACATGGTGATTTTCCATTGCTATGTTAGTTCACCAGAGGGTATATCTCTCCGTGCTACAATTATTGAAATGGATCAATTGTTAGAAAATTTAGTAGCTGGGGCTATCCAATGTTGGCCATGGATGGTTGAGGAAGGCAGAATCAACAAGGAGAATTATTGTTTGAACAACCGGCAACAACGGAATGTCACATTTAGGTCGGAATGCCACAAGACGCAACTCATATTTGGAACACGCATAGAAAGCCATAGAACAGGCCACTGACTAGCTTGTTTGCTTTAAAAACCTTGAAGTTGCTGAGTCAATGATTCGCATTAAGCTTCCCATTCTATGTACCATGATCAAAACTCTGATTATATACCCAGATTGGAGGATGGTCATCAATCCGTTAAAGCCCTTCATATTTAATAGGGATATTATATGATATTATGTATATAATATGTCCCTATAAATACTTATAAATCCGTTAATAGGGATATATAGGGATATAGCCATTCTAAGGATTCCCACCAGATGAATGACCAGAAACATCCCAAAAAGAAAACACGCCTGTAACTTGACCCAAGCAGAGGGCCACCAAGCATCCAATTTGTTATATTGTGGAAGATCAGATCCAAATCTCATTGGATTGGTTTTCTGGGAACACTTTTCACCAGAAACCTATATGGTTTTACTGTTTTTACTACTAAGATCATGGGGGTTCCGGGTTTCAATGTTTCCGTTTTTACCAATGAAAGTCCAAATTCCCAGGTTGTACATCAACAAGGAAGAGCTGGATTTCACCACCGTGGGGGATATGGAAGCGACGCAGGAGCTGCGGTGATGGTGGACACCATGGTATGCTTTTATTGGAAAACGCAAGCGCGAAACCAGCCCCACATTGTGAACGCTTGGAACACAGAAATAATGTAGGTAAAATGCCATACACCAGCCAGGTGGGAAATGGTAGTCACATAGCACCTTAAAAAATATGGTGATGATTTGGGTGGTGGTAAACATGGCAGCCAGTTTTACCCACATGATAAAATCTATAATAATCTGGGGGGGTTCTATATAATTTGGGTGGTTGTTTTGATTCTTTTACCCACATAAGCCATAAATGAAGTCTGTTTTGAGAATGATTCGTTGACTGTGTCTAATTTACTCAATACGCCGCCCGAACTTTAAGATGTCACTCCCGACAAATGGAAGTTTGATGAAAATCTAAGCAAATGTCACAACCGTGCCCTCCATTTCACTATGGATGAAGGTTAGTAGGAGGAATCGCCAAAATGATTTCTTATCTCCAGTTTAAAAGATATCCTCCGGTAATTTAACGGTTTGCTATTGAAAATACCCCATTTATAATTGATTTACCCGTTGAAAATAATGATTTTTCATAGTTTTTTGTATGTTTACCAGAGGGAAAAGAATCACTTCCCAACGATCTAAGATGGCCTGAAGAGTCTGCTCGTGTTTGTTGATTTGGTGGGTCCTGACCGAATCTTCATTTTTGCTGATCAGGCTTGCGGGTATTGTTCTTGTGTTGGGAAAGACCTTGAAGCAAAAGATGTGTTGGAATTATGGTGCTTGGTCCTTACCCAGATTA